TTCAGCTTATTCTTCTGCATAACATACTGTTTTTTTGGATTTTTTTGAAGTTCTTTTTTTTTTTTTTTTTTTTTTTGGCTGGGACCTTCTCTGGTCCTTGCACGGGCTGGCCACCCGGGACCCGGGCGGCCCAGATGGTAGCCTAGCTCGTACTACATTCAGGGTAGGGTCCCACAGGACGGCGGCAAACGATTCGGAAGTCTTCTACTACCAGCCGACTGCCCAGCTGGTAGCCTAGCTCGTACTACATTTTAGGGTAGGGGCCCACAGGATGGCGGCAAACGGTTTCAGCCGACTGCCCACGGCCAATGGAAATGATGAAACAGAGGGGCCTCCACCGCCACCACAAAATGTTGCTTTTGTGTCGGAGGCGGTTACCCAATTGGGAAACTCCAGGGTGGTTTTCCTTTTTGGGAAACGTCGGGGTCTGGAAGGCCATTCCAGGTCCATTACCAGTGGTTGTAATGGAAGGGCTGCCCGCTTCCGTCCGCATTTGCCGAAGTACTCACCCGGGAGGTAGGTAAACGGACTCACCCGGGAGGTAGGTAAACGGACTCACCCGGGAGGTAGGTAAACGGACCGAGTATTCGAAAACAGGAATATAGGGCCACGTACAAATAAAGGGGCCGTGGACCGAGTGAAAAGGGTTGCCCGTCGTCTTCTGCAATGGGATCTTCGGTCTGTGTGGTCTGGGAAGTTGCCTCGCGACTTCCGAAACCATTGGCCTCCGTCCTACCCTTAGGATTTCATTGGGTGTACTACTGGCTTAAACCACCATGGCACCAATGAATACAGACCTGCAAGGTAGGCTTAATCAGATTCATCCGGCAGAACGGGACTGCAAGCAGCAAGCCATGGGACTGCAAGCAACAACATAGCACATAAGAATGGGACTACATGCAATTACATAGCACATAAGAGTTGGACTGCAAGCAACAACATAGCACATGAGAATGGGACTGCAAGCAACAACATAGCACATGAGAAGAGAGGGGGTAATGGAGGCAAGCCGGGAGACAAGGAGCAAGGCGGGGGCCAGGGCAGCAGGATGAGCAGCAAGCAGTGAGGCACCAAGGCGACCACGCAGGGAGGCAGCAGCGCCACAAGGCAGCCAGGCAGAGAGGCAACAAAACAGGGAGGCAGCAAGGCATAAGGCAGTGCTGATACGGCAGGCAAACTACAAGACGAACATAAGGGAAGCACAGAAAGCCAAGGGAAAAGGATGGGCGGCCAGGCAGCCGGGGCAAGCCCATGAGCATTCCACAAACCCCACACGGACCAGAGCAGATAATCCACGCGTAGGTTCACACCACAAGTAGAACCCTTCAGACTGTAGGTTCAAAGCACCATTGAAGCCAGGAATTCAGTTGTTTGAATATCTTCCATCACCCATGGAAAAGACACAGACATAGACATTCCGAACACTGCAGCCCCCCTGTAGGCACTATAAACACACAAATACTGACTACCTGGCACATCTTGAACCACCAGTATTTCGGAGCCACTCTTTCCCAATGCTTGATTTCTCCACTCTTTCCCAATGCTTGATTTCTCCTGAGTGCGTATACAACACCAACGGGCACGGAGGCTCTTTTCTTTTTTTTGTGCGTGGCATAGCCAATCATCTCTATCTGGTAGGCACTGAGGACAGACGGACATGAGCACTAAAGCCGAAATCAGTGCATCTGTATAAATGCGTAAATATGAATATAAAAACATACGCACACACGCACCCCCCCCCCCCCCCCCCCCCCCCCCCCCCCCCCCCCCCCCCCCCCCCCCCCCCACACACACACACACACACACACAGAGAGAGAGAGAGAGAGTGCAGCTTCGTGCACCTACGCACTGGAGGAAGCTGCCAGGAAGGCGACGAGAAATCATTGAGGGAGAATGGATATATATCGTCAAATATATATATAGAACCGGCCTCGGCCTGCTAGGCTATGCGGTACGATCGCCACCTCCCAGCAGCCCATCGCCGGAATCTCCACTCTATTGGTGAGGAGCGGCACCTGCTAGAAACCGGGTCCAGCGTCCCGCAGTCCCATTATACAACAATCGCATGTCCTTAACAAATCTATCGTCCATTGCGAACCACTGATCAGAAGTGTTGCCCGGGATTTCGGGGGCACCGAAGCCCGAGCCCCTGCTACAGTCGCCCGCCAACCCACCCTACAATTACTATGGGTTGATGGACAAACTCAAAAACAAAGCGACGACACTCCCCTGCTTTTTCTCTTTCCATTTTTTGATTAACATGACAGTCGTCTACTCTATGCTAGGAACAGCAAGATGAGGAAATAGACAGAACAGGTCCAGGGAGAGAGAGGCAATGCAGTAAATACCCGAACTTTGTATCGAAAACACCAGATCCAGATGGACGGCATCATTCCACTATGTGAAACTGGCAGGGAAGGGGACGAAATCAGAGGAAGTGCGTAGCAGGAGAGAAGCATTGTGCTAAATACACGAAGCTTGTTGCAAAACCACAAAATAAAAGACTTCCGCGAAGAAGCAATAGTCGACGATGGTCTATTACCCTAGGCAGCTCTCTCTCTCTCTCTCTCTCTCTCTCTCTCTCTCTCTCTCTCTCTCTCTCTCTCTCTCTCTCTCTCTCTCTCTCTCTCTCTCTCTTGTGTGTGTGTGCAATAT